AGGCTAGACCAGATTAGCCCCAGACGGCAGTGCTTGCCCCCACGAGCTACATAACCACCGACACCCGACATACGTATTCTCAGCATCTCATAATTTTCACACCTCGTCCGGATGTAATACATTCTAGCTAAACACCTCGAACGGGTCAAACCAAAACTGATCAAGGCTCGAGTCCACATCCATCCCAAGCAAGCACAATGCGATGTCCTACTAGCCCGGATAACATTTCCAAACGACATTCGTATGGCCGTTCAGCAGAGTAGTGATTCTAAGGTCACGGCTGAGATGATTTCAGCTGGACCTGCTTCTATAATGAACAATCAATACCTGATGCGGGTATGGTACGAAGACATCTTGGCTGGTCGCTACACTGTAATCCGTGTCCACAAACCCTTATCAGCCCAATGACCACCTTCTATTGAACTTATTATTTATCTTTGCTAGTAGACAGATGTCGATTTCATTACTTTTTTTGAAGTAATCCTCTAGTTATATATTTCATTGAGTAAATCATAACATATCACTTTGATATTTCATTGATTAACATCGCATTACTTGGGTATTAACATGATCGATCTACAAAACAAGTCATGATGTCATGATCATTTCAAAGGTATATTCCACCTGATCGAAATGTATAGAATCTTCAAGAGGTGGGCATCCACAACGAAAGCATGACGCTGTGGCCAAACCAGAGCCTGCCGCAGCATTCGAACAGTTATGCTTCATTCTAAAAGCGAGAAAACCCAGACTATGTCACCGAGCTATTTCACATCTTCAGCAATCTTGCTGGAAAAACACATAACGTTAACGTGTAGTGACCCCAATTGATGTCGAAAAAGGAATCTCAAGACCTTACATACAGGTACCGGCAAGACATCGGTGAGATTCTTGATTCAGCATAGATTTGACTGGTCATTCCAGATCAGGTAGAACTGTCGATGTCCTCAATGGGGAATCTTCCAAGGCATACCGCCGGTTTGGGAATATTTCAATCATGGAATCAGAATATGGCAGGGTTCGCGACCTCGACCAGGCAGGGTTAGGGCGGACTTGGCAAATGTCACAGCTCAAACTGCTGTATCTGAAACAGGGTTTGTCTGCTGGTTTCGGATGATACAGCTGAATACACAGCTGGTTCAGGCAATCGAACCAGCTGTGTCAAGTTTCAACAGCTTTTTTCGCTCACCCACTCACCCTTCATGTCGATTGAGGTCATATATCTTCTACATTAAGAATTGAGGTATGTCACCTCCCCTTTTAGATTGAATAGTCTGCTCACTTCCTTCCCACATTGAGATCGTGTCACGTCACCACACGTAAGTATTTTCCATTCATTAGTTAGATGCTTTTTTTTCCCTGCTCAGACATGTTCCTTCATTCTTCCTACCTAGGTACAAACCCTCCCGTCTACGTCTCTACTTCTACGCTGCTACTCGACTCCGTCCTCCCAATACCTAACTCCGCCTCACCACTCCATCCACATCGATTCGTTTGTCTCTATTGACTGATTCCTTACTTCCTTCAATCTGTGTGACTTCGATCCGTGGTCTTTTAATATTACCAAGGTTTGGCAGTTCCCTCTTTTGACTGCTCATCTGTTGTTACCTCAACTTGCTTGCTGGTGGACTGGAGAAAAGGTAGCGATTGGAGATATCTGGGTGTGGTTTCCTAATGAGGGACGAAACACACCCGAAGTCTTCAATGCCAACCTTTTCTCCACTCCATGGGCACAGGTCAAGGTCCCTCAACTTGCTTGCTGGTGGACTGGAGAAAAGGTAGCGATTGGAGATATCTGGGTGTGGTTTCCTAATGAGGGACGAAACACACCCGAAGTCTTCAATGCCAACCTTTTCTCCACTCCATGGGCACAGGTCAAGGTCATCCTTGTTTGTTCATCGTTTCTTCTTCCTCATTCTATCCACTAATCACTTCGGACCCTGTCGGTGGTTGTAACAGGTCTTTTTCTCACTCTCCTGAGTCCGCACTCCTGCTGTTTACTCAAGTCGCTCAATTACATCTACAACGTCTATCTACAACGTCTATTCTTTGGATTTGGACTCGATTCTTCAGACATACATTTACCTGATTCTTTGTTCGAACAAGGTTTGATTCAAACAGATCATATCGTCAAGTAATCAATCATCTGCTAACGTGTTCCATGTCATTTTTATCCTGGTAGTCATTTACCCTCCACCATGAGCCAGAAACGCCCATCCAAGAAGCGCTCCTCAAGCAGTCAAAAGTATGGCAAGCGCCAAAGCAACGCCCGAGACCGCATCCGGCCCAATCCAGGTCCTCCTAATCATTTGAATCGCGATATCGAACGTCAAACGACATTTGACGCCCTTCGCAAAGATCTGGCCGAAGCCTATGGCTTACCGAGTGATTGCCGATTGTACTTCTTGAAAAAACACGATATGGCTAATCTTCCGAATACCCCTCGCTTACAAATCACACACCACAATGCTGTCATTCTGGATGCTGATACATGGAAAGTACTTCAAGTGATTCGATTTACTCCTTTTGCTGACATGGATGAGGAGAAAATGAAAACTATGAATTATACAATCCAGACTATTTACCAACATACGCTGGCCAGATCGGTGGTCAAAGTCAACCACGGAATGAAAGGGATTGAGAATCCTGGAGAAATGTATACGGCCGGTTTTAGGGGCGGCTCAGACAAAGGGCGCACAATTGGTAAGTATCACCTCGAGCTCTCACACTACCGAAGTAAGAATGCTGACCAAACATATATGTCCGAGAACTTTTCAGGTGTCACTGCACTGAGTGCCAAGACCGGTCGAAGTATGGAAGCTATCAGCAAGGATGAAGCTCGAATGGACGACCTTGCTGTCATCAATGACACGCTTGCCGAGTGGATGTCTACTCTGTGTATGCGAGCCTTTCAATCAAACCGAGACCTGGCATTAGAATTTTCAATTCCTTCTTTCTCCGATAAGAAGTGGTCAGCATCTCCCAATGCAAATGTAATTGCCTCCAATATCGTAGTTACTCGAGACGGCTTCAACAACAATCCACATCCAGACTATGATGCAAGCCCATACGCCTATGGCCTATTTGCTCGAATCGATCGCACAACTGGAGAACTTCACTGGGTCGAGCTTTCGGAATACCTAGGTGATATTGTAGGGTGTTGTTTCATTTTGGATCAATATCACGTTGAACTTTGTCTAGACGCTTGTGATGGTGTGGTTGAAAGTTGCTGGGCAAGTGATGAACTCCATCATACCTCCGCTTCAACAACCTATGATGAAGGGTGGATGTCGATCAATCCCCAGCTATCACCTATAACCCGATTCGGTTGCTCATTGCAAATCAACGCCGCATTGCTAGGACGAATTGATGGTTTATTGAAATTGAAGCAAGGGAAATCCGATGAAGAATGGGAAATCTATAAAAAAAAAGTTGTCAAGTGTTATGGCCAGGAAGTCGAAAACAAGCGATCGAAGATAGTCAATCCTGTTAAGCTAAACCTTCGCAAGCGTAAGAAATCCAAGGGGAAAGCTTGAACACTATACATTGTAGTTTTCCCTTATTTAGTTTCACGTGATTGTCTCAATACATGTCCAATCCCTAGTCCGATTCCCTTGTGCTTTAACGATTGGTCTGCTTCTTTGAATACGTAAATGTCTTGTTGTCATGTCAATTTGATTGGATTGCGTGCACACAGCAACCAATTTAGTTTCGTCCTTTGAGTCATGATTCATGAGTTGCCTCTTTTTTACCCAGTGGTTCTGAGAGACAAGGCTCAAGAATGCCATATTTTTAAGATGAGAAATTGATATTCAATGTTCTTGAAGTACATTAAATAACACTCTCCGTATTTCGAATTGATACATTCACATACCTTTTCGACATTCTTCTCTTTTCTTGTGCTTTGAAGAAAGGCAGGTTTGGCAATTCCTCACAATTTGAGCAATTCCTCATAATATGATGATGTGGACTCAATTTAATCAATCTACCTTTTTCGTTATACATTTCTATTAACAACTCTTCCTTTTGAGAGTTGGAGAACTTGGCACAAATAATCGAAATAAACATAGTGTCGGAGTAAGCAAAGGAACTCTATTGCACACACCACGGATCAAAGTGATCTAACAAGGTATCTATCGATACTTATGCTGGTACCTTCAATATTGAACCAACTAATTGTAAGGTAGTATATATACAAAGAAGTGTCAACAATAGGCGAAGGGGTGACTCAAAGCAACATTAACGAAAAGATAATACCATATTATCGTCTCTTTGTTAGGTACTGTCACTTCACATTGAGTAAATCAAAGTAAAAAACTAAATATTTAATCAAGTCACCACTTGGAATGATACAAGGTGATGTCTGTTGAACAAATACTTTGTTTAGTTTTGGAATGATATGTGTTTTGGCACGTTGAGTAAATCAAAGTAAAAAACTAAATATTTAATCAAGTCACCACTTGGAATGATACAAGGTGATGTCTGTTGAACAAATACTTTGTTTAGTTTTGGAATGATATGTGTTTTGGCCAGATTCATTTGACATATTTAACACGTGAGTGTGTTTCAACTTCTTCTCTGATTTCTTTATATTTATATAAGACACTTTCTGTTTGATGTCAAGTAGATATTTAATCAAGTCACCACTGAAAAGGTTACAAGGTGATGACTTTTTGTCAAATACTTTCTTTAGCTTTGGAATGTTATGTGTTGTTTACAACCATTGTGAACAACACATTTTTTAAAGAAATGACACTTGGAAAGAATGATTAACACGTGAGTTGGTTTCAACTTTACATGTTTTCATGAAAGTATGCATGACCCAGACCACTTATTTGCCACTTCACAATGGTTGTAAATTATATAGTTAAAGAAATGACACTTGCAAACAATGAATAACACGTGAGTTGGTTTCAACTTTACATGTTTTCATGAAAGTATGCATGACCCAGACCACTTATTTGCCACTTCACAATGGTTGTAAATTATATAGTTAAAGAAATGACACTTGCAAACAATGAGTAACACGTGAGTTGGTTTCATCTTTACATGTATTCTTGAAAGTATGCATGACCCAGACCACTTATTTGCCACTTCACAATGGTTGTAAAGTATCTATTTAAAGAAATCACACTTGGAAAGAATGATTAACACGTGAGTTGGTTTCATCTTTACATGTATTCTTTAAAGGATGCATGACCCCCATCTCTTATTGGCCACTTCACAAACAATGGTTGTAAAGTATATATTTAAAGACATCACACTTGGAAAGAATGATTAACACGTGAGTTGGTTTCATCTTTACATGTATTCTTGAAAGTATGCATGACCCAGACCACTTATTTGCCACTTTACAATGGTTGTAAAGTATCTATTTAAAGAAATCACACTTGGAAAGAATGATTAACACGTGAGTTGGTTTCAACTTTACATGTTTTCGTGAAAGTATGCATGACCCACATCTCTTATTTGCCACTTTACAATGGGAGTTGGTTTCAACTTCTTCTCTGATTTATTTAAAGTGTTCATGACCCACACCTCTTATTACATACTTTACAATGGTTGTGAAGTATTTATTTAAACACATTAGACTTGGACCAAACTAATCAAGGGCATGGGTATTGGACAAGTCCCTTGATTACTTTGGTCATTTGCCAATAAGTACACATTCACCTTGATTTTGATCCGGGGAAGTAAACTTTTTGAAGGGTTGAGTTTACTTGATCATGACACTTACCCGCGTTGATCAAAAACTAGCTTATCTACCACCAGATTGAATTGATTGAAAGTTTGGTGAAGGTGATGGAACCTTCAAACTGGTAATTGAACTACTCAAGGTCTCTTGGTGATCTTCAGGTCTCTAGGTGATACCTGGAGTTTACTGCCACAAGTTACTTACCTTACATTGGCCAGTGACCACAAAGCACATGTCCAGCACGTTTATGGTGTTCACGCGTCACACTCACTACTCGCTTGTTTACACAAGTTATACCCCAGTTTGGGTATAACTTGTTGATCACTCCACCTAATCCTTTATTCAGCTTGTTCGCCAAAGAAATTAAGTACATTATTTGTAATTTCAAGATGATCAACACTTCAAATTAGAAATAAACATTAGTACTGAACGCGTCACTACTCGCTCGTTTACACAAGTTATACCCCAGTTGGGGTAAAGACTAGTAGATCACTCCACCTAATCTTTTATTTAGCTTGTTTGCCAAAGAAATTAAGAACAAAATTGAATTTCGAGATGTTCAACACTTAAAATTACAATTAAAAATAAGACATGATGTCTTTACAAAGTGGAAAATTGATGTATATCTTCGAAATGCAAAAACTTATTCCTGATATCTTATTAGTAAATCACCATTCATGTCGTAACGTTGTTCATAGAACACATCTTCCTGATCCTCATACCAGTCAGCCTCCTCAGCTCTAATAGGCTGCTTCAGTTTGTTCCACTCATCATTCATCCAAGTACAAACCGTACTCCACCCTTGTTGTAGAGGCATATCAATGACAGCTGGTAGATACTGGCAAGTATCTACGAGCTGGTGTTTCACATCACCCCAGTTCTTCCACAATTTACATGTACTTTCAGCTATTATCTTGTAAAGAGCAGACAACCTGGTCTTCTCGTTGATATCCTCAGCTGTACCGTGTGAGTCATCAGTGGATGAGAGCAAGCGAAAGAAAATCAGACTCTTACTTACCTTGTTCCATTGCGTTCTTTAATGTCACGATCCGACTGTGAAAATCAATGGACCAACCAATCATATGGCGCACTTCACGCGCCAATCGCCGAAGCTCCTCTGTAGCTGACCTTCGGGCCAAAAAGGCAGCTATTCCTCGCCTTGTTCGCCCAGCTTCCACATCTTCATCTGGCGGCAAATCTTCTTCTCCTCGATTCCAGAAGGGATCATCAGTTCCCATGGACAGAATGTTCTCCAACTCGGGAAGAGCCACGCGCGGACGTCGGGGGAAATCAGCATGGTATTTTTCAACTCTGCGCTTATAAGTGTAGTACTTATTTCTTAAGTTGGTTATTTTGTCTCTAACTTGACGGGCCGTTTGCTGCTGCTGCCTGGTGCCTGCAGTGTATCAAATGAATGATGTGTCAGGTGTAGATAAACAAAACTCACTGTGTAACCAAGGATTGAACAAACCGGTGTTGCGATGCTGACGCAGTCTGGCTTCAATAACACCTACTCTAGCTTCGTACATCTTAGCTCGCGCAATCGTTATGGTTAGGCTCGCGTTGGTTTGAATTGCTGTTGATATTGATTTGAACAGTTCATCAATACTAAATACTAAGCGAAACATGTTGGCAGCAAAGGCGTACATGTGAGACCCAAGATGTTTTGAAACTCATTTCCACCAAGTTCGGTCACCACCGCGTGAATGTGTTCTTCAAAATCTGCTACTGTCGCTGGTAGAGCTACTAGCTCATTACGCTCAGCTTGCGTCCTCGCTCTTCTGCGTGTCGCTCGCAAGGCTTCAAGCCGTTGACTTATAAGTGGGGGGTACTGAAACAATCAGTGTGACACATATACCAAAGGGTTGGAAACACGAGGCCTGCACTCACAGAGCAACATGGAGACCTTCCTCCAAGGTCAGTAACACCCCTAACTTCTCCCTTTTCTCATTCTGAGATTCCTCAATGATATCCAGCTGACGTGCTCTTTGAGCCATCCACGTGGCCTCGTAATACGCGATGTCACGTCCAGGGCACCCATCACCGGGTGATGATAGCTTCCTGAGGGTCACTTCGGCTTCTTCAAGTCGGGTCCTGGCCTCGGTCTTCTTCCGTCGAAGATGAATCACTGTGGAGAGTGGAACTCATTCAGCATATTTCCTTTGGACGAGAAGCTCCTTTTGAACCACATAACCAAGTACCTACCCGCTTCATGCCGAAGACAAGCATTAGCATGCGATGAACGCATGCTAATCGCATTGACCCGGTGCTGTGGGGTGGCGTATCTTAGAGGGCTCACCAGTGGGCTGAGCCCAGACCACACCCTCTCACTTCCTTCGCCATCGGACAGCCCCCATCCTTGATTGAGGCGAGGATTCCAGAGCAACTGGCAGCCCCACCTATGCACATATGCATGGAAAACACTGGTACCAAATCGGATCCTACCGTTTAACATCTCCTCTTGAAATGTTCCACGCTACCAAACAGGATATCCAATTGATAATATATCAATTTAGATTTCCAATCGTTTAAAAAACATAAAAAACACTTACATTTTCGATTCCGGCTTGCATGGTACAACCAATGTCATACAAGATACCAACCCTTCGAGGAGTGAGACCATGGTTGCGGGTCAAATTCAGAATCCACTCAATCAAGGAGTAGCTGTAGTGCAGCCTGAAAGAAAACACATTCAACATCTTCTGATTATTTGAAAAGGGATGATAAGTGACAAACTTTTCGCCGCTTTTGACAATATTAGCAAATCGAAGAGAATGGTCGTGACGGCATACCATAGCCATGAGACCAGTTTCATCGCAACCTGCCCAATGGCCTTTACCTCGTGTATCGTTAGCTGTGGTATGTTGGTCGGCACACGCTTGCTAAAGATATCACATAACGAGTCCGAAATTAAAGGGGTGCTGGCTGAACAAAATTCTTACTGATGAAACAAGACTTACAAAATCATCCTCAGCATGTCCTGCCAGTCGGGCGCACATTTGGTTAACTTGGTCGTCGGGAAGAAAAAGTGGTGGCATCTGCGTTGTTTTCCTCGCAGCTTTGGTTCCAGCCGCGATGTGTCGGCGATGCTGGAAGTTCCCGTCCATGCAAACAACCACGTCGGGTTCTAATTGGGCTGCCTCGAGAAGGAGAGGTGGGCCAAAACAGCGTGGACAGTTGGAAGCAACTTTGTCCAGTGGCGTGAGGTTGAGTGCTGCATCCATGACTTTTTCAGTCATGGATAGCATCTCCCGATACGCATCTACTGCCCAATACAGAGGGGTGTGCCATCGGCGAGGCTGCAGAGAGTCCGCTGTCACATATCTACCAAACAGGGATGATTGAACTCACATACCTGTTCGTTCTTGGTTAGGATAAGGGCACAAAACGCATCGAGGAACTCGTCAATAGCTCGGGAAAAAGGTCCAATACGGATTGTACAGAATTTCCATAATATATGGAAAAACCGCAGGAGTCGGATGGAGAAGGCGGTCTTAGGGTATTTTGGGGATCCACCAATGAAACCCATGAGGATCAGCCTAGTTTGATCGTTTTTTTGACATCGACAAAATCTTATTCGAGTTTTTTGGCGCGCTTCATATTGATCAAGCAGTGGGATCAGTATGGTGAAATGAATGTAAAGCAAGTGGAGAGTTTCAATGGACATACTGAGTAGGTCGACCAAATCCACGTCCCTTTCGCGCCATTGGCTAGGATGACAGTTGCATGTGGCCTTGTGATCATGGTTCCACGTCGCGGGATTGCCCCACTCGCTTGTCTTCAATGAACATGCGAGATATGCGGAGAACATTTCTTCTGCTGCCTGGGCAAGAAGAAGATCGCGTGCGTGTCTTTCATCATCGAGTCGAGCCTGATGTATTTCATCAATAAAGTCGGGTCGTGGTATCTCATTATCATCTTGATCTTGCTGATCTACCATAAGGCCATAATCCTGGTGATCATCCGCATCGTCCTTAGGGTGACCGTTGGCGTTGGTTGGCTGGTGCTTCCGAGATTTAACTGCCTTTCGCATCTTCTCAAAGTGCTTCCTCTGCTGCTCGGTCTTTGGCACCTTCATCCAGTAAGGCTTCTTGGGGTTAAAAGGTTGGTGGACCCCTTCGAATTTAGGCATGATGAACTGGAAGTTAAAATATTCGATGAGGTGTTCAAAGGAATTGAACACGTCTGACTCAGTTCTATTTGAATGTTGGAACATGTGAAATGTAACAATGTTTGGGTTAAGTAGCTGTATGTTACTTAACCCAAACATTACATCGATTTCATCAGCATATGTAACATTTCATCAACTTCAGGCTCATATCACCAAGTGACATGTGCCACATACACACCAATGAGTACTTTATGGGTTTGATGAAATCGCTCAGGCGGAAATCCGTGAATGTAAGACGGTACATTTGTATGCAAACCAATATTAAATACAACAATCAAACAAATGAATTGTTGAGAACATTGGTATGAAAATTTGCTTGATTGTATAAGTTGGCACAATATGTACAGGACGAACATAGGAGTCATTTATGAATCACTTCTTAAGACAAAAGATTACATACACTAACTACATTTCAAACTATTCGCTATCTGACATCAGGTCTACAGGCTCTTTTGTACCATACAACCAAGGGTATTCTTGAACTAATATAGGCCGTATACATCGGTTGAACATATTAAAATGAGAGTCATATTTATGGGCCCACTCTAATGCGTCGGGCTTGGCGAGTTTGTACCATTCTTTCCATGGATTGGGAATGGGGAGGGTTTGAGAAGAAATGAGGGACAGGGACAAAAAATGAAGACCTTTGTGATCATAACCAAGAAAGATGGGTGGATTGTCGTTCACAGGACCTTCCAGAGGTAGTGCTGAAAAACATCCGGAACCTTCACCATATACGCAGAACAGCCGTTGGTAAGTCGAAGCAATGAGATATAACATCCGTGCCGAATTAAGCCACAGCGAAGGGGTATCCAACACACTTTCCCTTTGCGTTCTAAGTACTGAGATGTGTTCAGCAACCCCACCATCTCCATTATTCCGGGCTGCGAAGTGTGATTCGTAGAATTCGGCTTTCGAATTGAGCTCCTCAATCAGCTCTTCTCGTACCAAAAGCCATTGGTCTTCAGTTCTTCCGAGACTAATCGCGATTGCCCGATATCCGCAGTGACCATCACCGCGAGGGTCTGACACTGATTCTACATACTCATGGAGCCAAAAAGGTACACGATTGTCCTGGAAGTTCTGGCTGCATTGATCAATAACAATCAAGTAACGACGTAGGATATTTGAGTGGGACTTACACACTTTTTGGGTGTTGCACGTGCGCCTAGAACGGCGTACACCTGGAATTGGACCGGGGTCAGCTGTTTGGTGTCGAGTTGACCGACGAAGGTTAAAGTCAAGCTGGACTGCAGCTAAACCAGACTTCAAAGTTTTATCCTTGTTATTTTTTTTCTTGATCTACAAAATGACACCACATGGGTTGGTGTGAGCAAGAAGAAGTGGTTAGGAGATGGGTGGAAGGGTGGTGTATTTGTGAATTACACCCACTTTGGTGGATGGCTGTAGTTCAGGAGTGATCGGAGTGTTCTCATCTTTCTGAGCCGGGTGTGAGAATGGTAACAAGCTTTCCACTTGGAAACTTTCGTCCCCATCATCGAGAGTACCAGACATGGGCGAGATCGGTTGTACTGTTGGCTGTATGGCGTCGGTAGAAGCTGGCTTGGTTAAACCAATGACCTCTTTGTTTTTATCTGTGGGTGAGATCTAATGTGTTATGGAATTGTGTATTAGCGTGATGAAACAACAACTAAAACAACATGTCAGGCAGGGGACACACCTCAAGTGGTATATTTGTCGGACTGAGGTTTGGTGAAGGCTTCCAAAACAATAAGTCGGTTAATATGGTGATCTGTCAAACAGCTATTCGGAAATTTCAGGTATTGACATTAGATAGGTGCTCACAAATACCTCGGTGTCATCGGCGGGCTCTGACTCGTAATCAACCAAAGACGGATGAACTGGAAGATTGATTGGGGCTTTGGCCAAGTCTGATTCATATGGAGAGTGCGATGTCAATGGAAGTGGTTGTAGAGCACAACGTGGTGAAAAAATGCCTGTTGGTGAAGGCAATGGGGGTGGAGATGACCGAAATAGGTTCTGAGGCGTAAAAAGGTTGGTGGTTTCTGGAACAGTTGAGTTCGCCTTTTGATGGAGGGTAGGTATAGGTATCTGTGAGGTGGAGGTATCGATACTTGAGGTGATTTTTGGTTTCTTCTTGACAGGTGGAGGTACATCTTCTGTCGCGTGAGGGATTGTCTATACAATCCAATATCAATTGATTAATGTGAGTTACGTTCCAGGGAAAAAAAGGCGTACTAACTGTTGAAACAGATGGGATCAGAGTTTGGTAAAAGCCAGTGAGGTTGTTCGCGTTAGGTTCTTCTGAGGGTTGAAGGATATTTGCTTCGGAGCGTCGAATGCTTGCATGAAGTGCTTTGGTACAATACTTGGCGAGTACTTGTTCAATTTCATCGAGAGCTTGGGATTTATGTTGGCCTGTAAGCTGTAAGATCCTATCGGATATCTGATGGATGGTATGTAAACGAAAGTGCCAAGTGAGATGACTAAGGGAATGTACTGACCATGGCCGAACGTTGGTTCATTGCTGTCGAAGAGTCATCAACGGAATCGGCTCGCTGTGGCTGGGATATCCAAAGTGTTAGAAGGAGGGTTAGTTTCATCTCGATGTTGTGTAAAGTCGGTGTGTTTGTACCTCACATCCAATTGGTTCGTGGTTGTGAGTTGGGTTTTGGATGTGAATTTTCCAACTGCCTAAAGGAGGTAAGTTGGATTCGTTCCCATTGAGGGCTATCTTTTGAAGGTGAGCTGGGACTGTAGAAGGGATGACCTGATAAATCCTGAAGGCGAATGGACAGTTTGTTTTGCGGGATTTTGAATCGAGTGATGGTTTCTTTCCTGAACGATGGCACTTGTATCGTATGCTGGTGCCTTCGGAAGATCGGGTAGCGATCTTGTATCCATGTGCAGCTGCGTGTGCTTTGAGCTTGGTCTGCATATCGTCAAGGGAGGCGGTGACAAGGTCGTGGGGTGGTGGTTGGAGTCTAGGATGGCCGTTGGGTATTGAGGTGGTAGACGACATCGGAGTAAGGATGGTTGGTGAGGGGGAGGAGTAGATGATGACTGTCGAGTTTGATTGGTTGCGAAAGATACCAGGGGGGTGTGGTTAGGGTATAAG